TTTTTCTGTGTTTTCTTACCCAGAGAACCACCAGTATGTGATTTTGGAAAGAAAAGAGCTGCTGGCTTCTGGACACTGATTCTGATGGGAAGAAAAACATGGGTGATATTTATATATAGAAAAGGGCATGTGTCAGATGAATATAATCCCTTTCTGTGCTCCCCCAGGAAAACAACTCAAGAAGTTACATACCCATTCATTGATGCTGACAGTGTAACTGTATTGTGGAGGATCAATGGGATCAGGAGACTTTGGAGAATTAGACTTTGAAAAATGTCTCAGGTGGAGGAACAAAGAATATAATTTTTCATACTCAAGACATTTATTTTCTGAAGCACAGAGCTCTGCCATACTCATACCTTAAATAGAGTACTGCTGCACAGGAGAGCATGGGGAAGCAATACAATCCCTGTCTACTGGTTTCAATGAAAATAAACATCAGTATAAATAGAAAAATTTTTTAGTTTTTCAAAACATACATAGAGATACAGAATACTGTTACTCCAAATTCTGCAAGTTACCTTTTAAAACTGTCAGCCTTTATAGAGAATGGTGTATCTTACATCTCCTAGATACTCATATTCCTGGGTATCCCCATAAATTTACATTACTGTTTGATCAATGAAGCAATGCATTATGAAAATCTACGCTATACTTACGGGATTGTTGACTGCTTTAAAGAATGGAGGGTGATCAACTAAGCAGAATAACACAAGTTCTCCTAGCACCAGGCTAGCATAAAGGTAAGTTGTAATGTGGTGGAAATGGTCTTCCAGGAAGCCCTAAGAAACAGAATACTGTTTAGAATGAGGTAAGAACCTTAACACGAGATCAGCAGAGAAACATAGCTTCTCAAGTTCTACCAGCTATAAGCTCTGAGTTTTGGTTCAAAGCCTGAAGTGCATTTATTTAACTGTAGTTATGTACAGCAACTTAAATAGATAAGTCCTGAAACTGGAATATCAGAAAATGCTAAGTAATGGGCACGTTTATTATTTATAGTGACAGTTTTATCATGAGGCTTCATAGCAGTCTAGTCAAGTCAGATGTCCACATTGCATCATTATTCTGTGAACTTTGGGTACCCTGAGGGATAGACGCTCCTTGCTCACCTAGTGGGATGAGTTGTTGATGTAATAAAGCACCTGCCAGGTTTTACTATAAATGGTGTGCCTAAGGGGCTCCATGTGGGGCTCTCTAATTTTGTGAATGAGAAAAACTAAGGAAAAAGTCTGAGTATTTTTTGAACTGTATTTTGGTAGCAAGAAGTGCAAAGTGTTATTTCTACAAGAGGGCTGGTGCCTGAGTATCATTCAACACAGCAGGAACAAGCAATAGTGGTTGCATATTATTCCCCTATTACTTAAACACACAGGTAATGTAAAAATTTGTTTATCCCTTGTTGTGAAGAAAAGGTACAACTGTTCACCTGGGGAAAATGGCCACTGACAGTAAGTCTCAGATGTGTAAACCCAGCCAGCACTCCTCCACAAATAAACAAATATTCACCACAAATACTCAAATAATAAAAATATATATCAACATACTTATGTTGATACGAAATCTGGCATAAATCCAGTTTTTAGTGACAGTGTTTATGTTCATTTTGCTTTTATTCATATACAAAGTCTGCTGAATTCTCAGAAAGACACAATATGTCTACATTGAAAGGAATAACATGAATGGGGGTGACAATGTGTCATCAATCATTTTTCTCAGCACATATTTTAAGAGAGGAATTTGGTTCTCCACCTCACAATGAGGCAAAAAGAATCCTGTTGTTTAGACTTCATACCCCTGCATATTGACATGTGATTTCACTTACTCTTTCCAGGGCATGCTGGACTTTGGAACTAAATATCACAACAACGGCCATGAATGAGAGCAGCCAGTAAATCAACAGGACACCTGATGACTGGATGCCCATCATTCTTTCTGCTTGGGTAAGGAACATGGCAAGGATCTGTGAGGAAGTACAAATTTGTCCAAATAAATAGCTGGTAATGGAATGCCAAACATTATTACCAAATTAACAGATACAATAAAGAAAAACCAGTTAGTTTCTTGCCCAAACATTTAAAGATGTTCAGAGCTGCAGTATTGTTCCTAAAAGGCTAAAACTGAACAGTATTGTATGCAATTTTGCACTCAAGACTGTCTCTCCAGAAAGGACAAATAATAGAGCTACAAGTGAGCCAACAGGCTGGGAGGATCTAGGCTATGAATATGCAATGACAGAAGAGGAGGATAGGCATTTGGGTTGAACAGAAATCCCATTTCACTCTAAAACATACTAAATTGCATACTGTGGTTATGAAAAACTAGACCTTGTCCTCTTGTTGTGAGGGCTCTTTCTAAACACTACTGCTACCTCGGCTCTTGTGAGGTATACTCTGCCCACAGGGCTCTATGCTGTAGCTGTAGACCCAGTGGTCTGCTCCAACTCCAAGCCTCTGCTGCCATCACACAGCAGAAACTCACAAAACCCATCTCCAGCCTTCTACTCCCCACCAGCTTTGTGCTCAAAAATACTGAGAAACATGGGAAATACAAGATCTGCACCAGGAGGGCTCAGCTGAGCCATATGCAGACAAAACAAAGTAAGAATTACCATTGTGATTCCCACCACAGCAGGGCTAATGAAGAATGCTGGAGCCCGTGGAATTCCTTGGCTTATCTCCCACAGTAAGAAGAAGACATTAGAAAAACACAGCATTACCAGGATAAATCCAAGGACCTGTGGCAGAGACAGCAAACACATTGTTGGAATGGATTGAAATGATGATGGGACGATCTACCGAACTGAATGCTCCAAGCAGCTTGGGCAGTAAGACTGGAGAGGTGAAAGAGCAGATTTGGGACAGAGTGTGTTACAGGAAGTAGCGGGGAACCAAATGGGAGTAAAGGGAAAATCTTATGACAGTTCTTCCTAAAACTGTACTTGATTTATACTGACCTGACTTGACCTGAGTCAGCAAATGTCAAAGCAAGCACAGAGATGGATCATCAGGAAAGAGTTAATGATTTAGAAAAATTAAGTTGTGCATCAAAGTTGTGATGATGTTAGGATCAAACACCATCTTCCACCCTTACCATTTTGGTTTTGAAGATGTGGGACATCCTGATATAGCCTTTGTTTTTGTGTCGAAGATAGTAGTAGTAGAAAGGAAAACAGATCCAAAGATAGGTACAAGGGATCCAAGCAATGACTGTACTCTCAAAGCACCAGGTAAATCTTGGGGTGTTTGTATACCATGTCTGGTTCCAGTCCTGTCACAGAATAAACACAGAAGTGAAACAGTAAAGCTAATGTATGCAGAATTTCAGCAGCTAATGCTACAGCTGAGGTCTACTATAATGGTAGAGGAATTTGATTTATGGTTCCAAATGTAAAAAAAACATTTGGCAACAGAAGTACTGCTGAAGAATAGTAAGGTGTCACATGTCACAGGTGAGGGAGGGAGGACTCAGCAGTAGTATTTTGGAGGGAATAGAAGCAGAGAAGGAAAAAAAAAAAAGGTTTGAAAAAATTAAATATGCCAAAGAGAAGACATCATGTATCACAACTAGAGAGAAAATAAGAGGATATTTAAGTTATTGAATGTGGAATGAGAAAAAGTAATTTGGGAAAAAAAAAAAGATTATCAGCATTTGGGAACCATTAGGATAGTCAGTAGGGAATGACCAGTGAAATGGAGAATTGGAGGAAAGGAGTGTCCTGGTGCATAAACTGCATGACAACTGCATTTGCTCAGATGTATTTATAATCCGTTTGTAATTCCTCACTGAACAAACAGTTGGATCTCATCTGCTAATATAACAACACTAAAAATACACCAAGCTATAGATAAATAGGTGAGGGTATTTTTTTTCTTCTGCTGCTTGTGCAGGTGGTTTGAGTCTTTTATGTAGAGGACATAATGCAAAGCAAGGCTAGGGGAAGGAATCCCTTGATGAAAAGAGGAAGCAGATAACTGCTCACAAATTATTATGGGAGTTTAATCAACCCTGGGGGTAGAAAGCCATGGGACTGATCAACTCCTTAAAGTCCTTTTAAGAATCTGGACTGATCAACTCATTAGCTCTTCTAAAGGTATTTCTATAGTGGGTCATTCAGCAGATACTTTCTGAAGACAACAAAGGGACAAATTTCAGTTCCCATCCAGCAGTGCAGGTGGCCCGCACGCTCCCACGCAACTCTCGTCAAAGTTACTGCAACTGGGCAAACACTCGGGCTGTTCTCTATTTGGGTGAAAACTTGTCCCTGGGAGGCAAAGTCCGTAACACCAGCAACCTCTCGTGGAACACACTTCAGTCCACAACGTGTCAGCCGCCTTACTCAAATACCACGCCGGCAACGGCTCCGCGGCAGGAGGCTCCGTGGGTGCTGGGGTGTTGCGGCCCCACGCAGGAGGAACCCACGCCCCCCGCCGCCGCAGTTCACTCACCCAGAGCCCGGCGGAGCCCTCCGGGGAGCCGCAGATCCAGCCACCCACCGCCATGGCGCCCGCCGACCCGCCGGCGGGGCGGGCTGGCGTGGGGCGGGGCGGCTGGGCGGGGGCGGGCCGCCTGCGGCCCCGGGCTCTCCGCTCCGCCCCCTCAGCGCCGGCGGAACGGGAGCGCTGACCGCGCCGCGCATGGGGGGGAGCCCCGGAGCGCCCCGTCCCGTCCCGGCTGGGGGCGACGGGCGAAGTCCGGCCGGCAACCGCTCGGGGACGGGCCTGGGTTCGTGTGGCCCGGCAGCAGGAGCGCGCCGAGGCGGAGCCCCCCGGCAGCAGGATGGGGCAGGAGCCGGGGGCCCCCGCGCCTCAGCCGCGGCGGGCGGCCAGCGGGGCGCCGTGTCGCCTCAGACGGGAACGGCCCGGGGGAACGCGGGGAGCGACCCGTGAGGGCCTCGGCGGGCTCCGGGGAGCGGCGGGGGCGGGACGGCCTGCGGCGGGGAGCGGGCCCGCCGGGCCGGCAGGGGGCAGCACCCGCCGGCGCGGCGCCGCGCGGCTCTTCCGACGGCGCTGAGTCAGGGCGGTGGCGGCGGCGGCGGGATGCGGGCCCGGGCGGCGGCCGCGCTGCTCTGCGCGTTGTGCTGCGCCCTGGCGCGGGGCTCGGAGGACATCGTCGTGGGCTGCGGCGGCTTCGTGAAGTCCGACGTGGAGATCAACTACTCCCTGATCGAGGTGGGCGCCCGGCGGCCCTGGCGCCCCGTGCTCCGCTCAGGCTCGGCCGGGGCGCTGCCCGCGGCCCGTTTGCCCTGCCCGCTGTTTGAGTTGCCTGTGCTTGCGACGTGGTTTCGGTTGACCCGGGGCTCTTCAGGCGTTTTTTTTCCGAGGCCGGGGCTGAACTCCGCCGGCTTTGCCCTTCTTGAAATGAACCTTTTTTCCCTGTTACCCCCTGGGAACACGCGGGTGCTGCTGTGTAAAAGCACTTGGCTAGAGAATGTCTGTTTCTGCCTTTGCTCACGTTTTTAAAAATACCTTTTTGTCTTTTTTTGTTTTCTTTAGATTAAGTTATATACAAAACATGGTACTCTGAAATACCAGACAGACTGTGCTCCAAACAATGGGTATTTCATGATTCCCCTCTATGATAAGGTAAGAAACTGAAATACCAGGTCTGATCTGCCAGCAGATTAAATGTCAGAACATGAAACATTTGAATCAGGACACATTTGAATCAGAAGTTGGTTTTGGACCAAGCTTCTAACTGTTACTTACTTCTTAGTGCTGTACTAAGTATTATGAGAAAAGCCAGGTAACTAGCTCCGGTGTTGCGTTTGTGCTATTTATCTGAATGGCTGCAACATTGGGAGTTACTGCTAACATCCATCTCCTAGCAGCTGTACAAACACTGCACAAAAAGTACAGGTTCCTACAGAGTACAGATAAAACTTTCAGTTATATCTCTATAGAAGTAAAAATAAATCTGTATGAGAATGTGTTTTGTTATGACTGAATTGAAAATAATTTAAGTGACTAATTGCAGATATTAAAAATGTCTTAAAAAATAATGATACAGGAAGCTCAGAACATATCAGAAGTTTGGTGTCTGTTTAGACTGGAAACATTTACATTCAGATTAAATACAAAGTGCCCTTAGGTGGTCTATGTGTTTTGCTCTTTTAAAGAGCTAGTTAACTTACGGATCAGAAATAGAATCATAGAATGGTTTGAGTTGGAACGAACCTTGAAAGGTCATCTAGTCCAACCACCAAATAAGTCCTTCCCTTCCCAATCTTAGAATGTAAGATGCTTTTCGATCTCAGTGATTTCATTTGTAAGTCTTTGAGCCTTTTGATGGATGAACATCGGAACGTATGTGGTAGAACATACGTGGTGCCCACTGATTTAAAGAGGATCTCTGTGTAGATTAATATCATTTGGTGCAGAGCTTTTAATTAGATTGAAATTTTGTTATCCTGTGTTTGGGCAGAGTGAGTAGGACCTCCTAGTGGAAGTACTAAAGTCTAATTTAGAGCACATCTGTTGGGGCAGGTAGAGATAGATTTGAACACTTTTTAACACTGAGTTGCTTGAATCTGAGCCAGGTTTGTTTTGGAAGTGGTGTAAACATGATGATATTTAATTTTTGTTCTTAGCTGGCAGGATGTAAGCCCAGCATCCCAGTCTGTCTGGGTAGATATTGCTGCTTCTTTGAACAGCGTATCTTAGGTAAGAGGAAGGGAAAATGAGACACTTAAGTCTTGTGTTACTCTCTGCAGCATGATCCTTGTGTTCTGACTTGTTTTCATTCTTTAGCTAAATTGAATTTAGATCAGTGAAGACAGTTACTGCTTTTTTATTTTTAGGGGGATTTCATTCTTAAAATTGAGCCTCCCCTAGGGTGGAGTTTCGGTAAGTGCTTGTATGTCTTCTTACAATAGGACGGTGTATCTGCAATGTGGGACTTAACTATCTCTAACTTCTAGCTGGCAGGGAAGATCAAGTGCTTTTCGAAAGAGATAAGCCCTACTGTATGGTTATAATAACTAAAATGTACTTACTGTACCACAGGAAAATAAAGTTATAAGGTAGACATTGACAAAGTAACCTATGAACTGATTTGAAGGAATGTGGAGGTTTTTGACAGAAATGGCTGCAATGGGAGGGGGAAGGGATTTCAGCATTGGGATTTGTGGGTGCTTTAACTTTCCTGAGGCAAGACTTCCAGAGAAACACTTGTGTGCTTGAGTTAATGCATTTCTATGAGAGTTTTGTAAAGCTAAAGTAGAATTGCTTCGTGATTGCTCTCTCACTAACTACCATGCTGTTTCATTGTTTTTCCCCTCCAGAACCAACCAGTGTAGACATCCATGTGGATGGCATTAATGACATTTGCACGAAGGGAGGTGATATTAACTTTGTGTTCACAGGATTTTCTGTGAACGGAAAGGTTAGTCTTCTTTACCTTTATTTATTCCATCTTATGCTAATTCTGCCTTCATAAAAATATTCTACAACTGCCCTGCAAGTTATTTTTGTTCATTTATAGTCTGGTTTCTTTTCATGTTGACAGGTTCTCAGCAAAGGTCAGACATTAGGTCCTGCTGGAGTACAGGTTGTACTGAGAAATGCTGGCAGTGACATAAACATACAAGCAACTATTACACAACCTGGAGGAAAGTGAGTGTGTGTGATACATACTTAATTCATCTGCTCATTTACATAGGATTCTTTCAATTCTGCCATATTGACTGGGATTATAGTAGTTCTGAAATATTTTATCTAACATGTATATACAGTCTGGATTGTTTTTTAGCAAAAAAATATTTGTTACTATTTCTGAAAAAACATAACCCCTTTCTTGCCTTACAGGTTTGCTTTCTTTAAAGTGCTTCCTGGTGAATATGAAATCTTTGCATCTCATCCTACCTGGATGTTGAAAGAGGTTAGAGCCTACAAAAGTTTTGGTTTACCTACTTAGTGAGGGCGGATCTGTTGGACCTTGTCTTGATCAACTAGTGTGAAGAAGGGTTTTTGTGAGTGGACAAGGTTAATGGAGTTTTCATAAATTTAATTTAGGTAGTTAAAAAACTGCCTCATGCAGTCCCGGTTTGGAGATAGTGGAGCCATCCGGGGAAGGACTGGCAAACAAGCTCTTGCTTTTTGTCTTCTAATCCTGTATATTTTGCAGGAGCTTGAATATTGTGACAGATGCTCTTATCCTTACCTCTCAGACTGCTTGCCTTCTGAGGAGCTCTGAGATTCTGACCAGTTCCTAAATCAGTAAAACAGGAAAAACACTGTTTTGCAAAGTATCTTTGCCTTAATGTCTTTGTGTTTGAATAGTCTGGACTGCTGCTCTGTCCTCTATTTCTGTTGTTGAATATACAGCTTCTGATTGTTATTTAAATGATGTAAATGAGATCTAATACCTTCTTTTGATGAAAACGTGTATGTTTATGTATTTCAGTCAAACACAGTGGTACGGGTGACAAGTTCTAATGCTTATGCTGCTAGCCCTCTGATTGTTGCAGGCTACAATGTTTCTGGGTCAGTAAGGAGTGATGGAGAACCAATGAAAGGGGTCATGTTTCTCCTTTTCTCTTCTTCTGTCACTAAAGAGGTAATGGTGTATCAGTACCTTTTCAGTATGATTATAGACATAAATAAGAAGGAGCTAAATAGCTTCTAGATTCATATTGCTCCGATACTCGTCTCTGTCCTTCATTGAGATTGGCTTACAGAAAAGATAAACTGTATGACTCCTGAAGCTGTGTTTTTTCATTTATTTTTTGAGTTTAGGTTTGTTGCGTTTTTTTGTTTGTGTTTTTTTGTTTGTTTGTTTGTTTTTTTTTTTTTTTTCGACAAGGCCCTTGTACAACATTTGTGTACATGATGAGTTTTCACATGATCTCCATGGAATTACTCAGATCTGTAACACAATAGCCATCTGTTTAAATATTGGCAAAATTGAGGTTTAAGGTCTACTTAATTTTTGGACACAAATTAGAAAGTTCTTTTAACTTCAACCTTTTGATCTCTTCATTATTATTTTCAAGAAACCAGGTTCCTCAACAATCAGGCTGTTCAGGGGCATAGAAAACAGACTTGAACTGAAGCACACAACAAGCTCACAACCTGTTACTGATCTGTATATTCCCTGTGGGTCAGCAGTGTTAAGGGCTACAGTTTTAAGACAGTATTTTTTCAGTTACACCTTTTTTCATGTTAAATGTTGGTTAGTAAATGTGTTCTCTCGTGAGGATGACACTTCATGATGAAAGACCAGCTTCTGGCACAAGACACAAGAAGTTGACAGACAAATCCTGCAATTTGCTGTATAGTAGCTGTAATTTGTCTTCGACATGAGGTCTTAGTTGCTCTTTGCCCTCTTCATGTGAGGACAAAGTCCAACAGCTTCTATTGCCACCTTAAAACCGTGTTATGAAATGAGTGTGAAACATTTGGCCATGTACTGTGATTTGTTATGTAGAGCTCTGTTCTGTAATGTTAACCTTGTCCACAGAACTGAAGTCAGTTAATGTTAAGACATGCAATACAGTTCTGGGGTACTGGAGGGATGTTAAATTTCCCAATTTTCTGTCTGTGTTACCATAAAGTTGATTATTTTAACATTTCTTTCCTCTTTTACCTATACATGACTTTTAAGCTATGCTATCAGACTCTGCCTCTAAAATGATTTTGTACTTCCCATCCTTCATTCACAGTATGGTATTTTGAACCCTCCTACATCCCCCCCTGAAACTATTTTCTCTGCTCTCCCATGAGAAAAAAATTTGTATTGCATTATATACCACAGGATGTTGTGGGCTGCAATATTTCTCCTGTGGATGGATTCCAGTCAAGAGATGAGTCTCTATCTTATTTGTGCAATGTTGTATCAAAGGAAGATGGATCTTTCAGCTTTCTTTCTCTGCCAAGTGGGAAATATACTGTGGTAAGTAGTTAGAAGGTTCATTGCTTGTCTATCCATTGAGTTATTAACTTTAATTTTCTAAACTAGATCATGCATGACTTTGTAGCTGTTAAAACTGAAATAGTTGAAATATTTTGAATGGAATCAAATAATTAGAACCTTCAACTTAAAGTATATGTCAGTGAAGTAAGTTGCTGTGATAGGGCTCTGTAGTGTGGTTTCTGAGGAAAGACTTATTTGCAAATCATGTTCTGAATTACATTGAATACATTGGCTGGTCACAGAGCAACACCTAGAGGCTGCTGGAAGACTGAAAAGTTCACTTGGCTAAAACCACCTCATGTCCTTTAAGCCCTCTGTTTTCTTTTTTGCCCATTCTCTTTATTGTGTCTGTATAGTGTGGGAGCATGGTAGTCTGTGCACTGCCTAGAGTGATGGTCCTGCATTCTCAGACTGCATGAAGTGGGATTCAAACTTCTCTCATTCCTTTAACCCTTCTAGTGATCATGCAGTCTTCTATCTGTAAGCTCTTGCACATTGCAGTACCTTTGCTGTATTCTGAGTAGAGGGTTACTTTTCTGTCTCTTCGGATAATCTCATATGATTTTCATCAGTCAGTTTTGAAATACCACCTTTATTCTTCTCTCCCTCCCTCTTGAGTTATTTTTTCCAGCAAGTTTGCATCCTGTTTGATTGATTGAGGTGCCTGATGGTGATGAAGGATGTGGAGAAATTCTGTTGTCATAGCCTCTTAGGAGTCAAAGCAATGTGTCTTCTTCCAGATACCGTTCTACAGGGGAGAGAGAATTACCTTTGATGTTGCACCATCTAGATTGGAGTTCCTCGTAGAGCATGACAGTTTACAGATTGAGGTAAGGCATTCAGAGGAAATAATTTTGTGCCATTCATTCCTGTGAAAGCATAACTGATTTTAGCAGAAAGCAGGTGTAATGTGGAAAAACTTCTTTGTAAGAAGTTTGAAGACATTGGTTACGCATACCTTCTTGCTTAGCAGGTAGAAGACAATATCTAGCATTGTGCTGTATTTCTACACTTCACTCCGTTTTACTAGGAAGAACCAAAATGGGAGAAAGCTGTCCACTGTTTGCACTTTCATGTCCATGTTGCAAACAGGCAGTAATCTTTCAGGTTGCTTAAATTTTCTCATTCAGATTGTCGTATTTCGGGAGAAGGGCCTGTAGTTTTGTATGGTTTGCAGAGTGCCTTGTGTAATGGCATGATCTGTGATTTGGACTTTCTGAACTGTACTCATGCAGATAAATTGAGAACCTGTTCCTGTACTTAGGGGAACAGTATGCCTGGAGATTGATATGTACTTTCATTGTGATTATCCTGGTACATTTTTTTCCTAAAGCTGGAAATAAATTTCCTTTGTATGTGTGTGTGAGGAAAACAGTTGGTGTTGACTGCTGTAGGTGCATGTTTGCTTTTACTGAGTAAAGATTAATGTTAAATTTTTTCCCTTTCCAGCCTGTTTTCCATGTGATGGGTTTCTCTGTCACAGGCAGGGTGTTGAATGGGCCTGAAGGAGAAGGAGTTGCTGATGCCACTGTGACTCTGAACAATCAGATTAAAGGTACGTCATGGTCTTGGTCTGTGTTGCTGCGGGGAAGCCTTTATTAATCTCATATGCAGGACTGGTGTATGAGATGGAGTTAACTCTTCAGGATAATACACTACTTTTGTTGCAATTTGTTTTAAATAGTAAAATGTTTTTCATGCTGTTGATTAATTTTGCATTTTCTAGCTTAGATGGGAATATTAGGTATTCATTGGTTTTGCTGTTGAAAATTTATTTTATTGCAACTCTATACCAAATTGTGCTTTGAAATACAGAAATAGAGGTTGGTCTAGCAAGAAAGCATAATACTGTTTCTTTGTTGTGCAATGTAAATTTAAAATAGCCTAAAGTAGTACATGCCCTCTGACTCTTGACACATAAGGATAGACAATCAACACATGCTCTGGTTTTTAATTCTTCTCATTATTTGTTACAGTAAAAACAAAAGCTGACGGCTCTTTCCGCCTTGAGAACATAACAACAGGTACATACACAATTCATGCCAGGAAAGAGCATCTGTTCTTCGATACTATTACTGTGAAGATTGCACCAAATACACCTCAGCTGGCAAATATCATTGCAACAGGGTAAGTATTGGTGTCGTAATGAAAATGTAATTTGATATGTGGACAGGGTCTTGAAAATGGGTTGTCCTTTCCCATACTGTGCCCAGACTTGCGTACTGTTGTCAGGAGCTAAATGCTGCTTGAGAAATTCAAGATAAATAGGACAGCATGAATGCAGGATAATGTTTTGTTCACAGTATTTTGCTTAACACTAGTTAAGTTTAGAGCACCCTCTTAATAACCTCTCCCTTGCAAATGAAGATGCTAAGTCGTAGGTATATTGAGCAATTTTAGAACAGTGTATGAACCAAGAAAGAAAGAGGGGCTTTCTGCCGCTGATGTGCACTTCAGATAACCCTCCTTCTGTGCAAGAGTGGAGCTACATAACCGTCTGGTGCAGTGTGGTACCAAACCTTACATTTTATTGCTCACTCTCAAGGTCATAGTCTTCCATGAATTGTCTTTTTCTTGTTTGTGATTCTTTGACTGCTGAGCATAAACTGGTATGATGGTGACAGGATGATTTCAGGATTGTAAGGCTGTGTAGTGGTGGGAGATACTGTGTGAGCTGAAGAAGGACAAGAGGGGCATGGTTCTGTGTCTAGGAGCTTCTCCTCAGCAGGAAATAGTGGTGACCTTCCAGAGAAGTGACAACAAGGAATTTACTGAGGCAAACAGCAACTAGCTCATACAGACTTAGCTAGCTAATTATGAAAAAAACCCAAACCTGTGCTGTTAAATTATGAGTTACAGTTTTTTCAGTCACTAAATATGTTGTGCTGTTGAAGGTGAAAAGTAAAACTTAACAGCTTCTAATTTGTCATCTTGTGTTTTCACAAACGTAGGTGTACTAGGGTTGTGTTCTAGTGAAGTACATATCACATTTGAGGTCTTTGACACAGAACACTTGAAACTATTTAAAACCTGAGGGATGGCAATCCTAAGTCAATTGCCTGCCTAGCCCAAAAAAAAGAAAAAAGGCTTGAAGTGTTTGGGTTGATAGCAGGGAAGAGGTGAAGCAAGTTGCTTGCAAATAAAAACATAACATCATGGTGATTTCATTGTAAAAGAAAAGATCCCATTAATCGTGCATGAGTTTTCACTTGCTCCACTGTGTTTGCTTATAGTATCTCTTTTGAAATGAACATTTCTTCAGGAGAAATCAATTCCAATTCCTGTGTTAGCACCTTAACATAGTGAGGTTTACTTTTTAAGGAAGTTTTAAAGCAAGTATTTTTTATGAGCTTTGGTAAATCAAGATATTTATTGTGATGACTGACTTCTATTTAATAGATTCAGTGTGTGTGGCTGGATCTCAGTAGCTCGTTTCCCTGACACAGTCAAACAGCTTAGTAAATACAAGGTAACCATGATGCCTCAAGACAAGGACAAAGCATCACTGATTACAACAGAAACTGACCCGCATGGAGCATTTTGTTTTAAGGCAAAATCGGGTACATACAATGTTCAGGTAAGAATGAGTTTCCATTTCTTCATTGTAGGACTCTCACGAGGTTTTAGAAGATTTTAAATATTTAATTTCTAAAGTTTGAGAAACTGAATTTAGTTTTTCCTGGTTCTTTTCTCCTGTTTGCACTATTTAAACAGTAACAGTTATTTCCTTTTTTTTCTTTAATAAGCTGAGATTCCCATCCTTGTCCTTTACACTTGTTAAAAGGAGATCAGGCCATTGGGGTTGCAAGTTCTTATTTCTCTCTCTTCTTAGTTGTGATGTCCCTTATATCACTTTTTAATCATAATACATTATCCTGTGAGTGAGACGTGTAATGTTTACCTTTCTCAGGTGCCTAAATGGTTCCTGAGAGTGTAGGTCACAGCAGAACCTGTAGCAGAACCACTGTGAATTTTTCATTGTGGGAGGTAGTGCAGACTGGAAGGTAATGAAGTGCATGGTTTTAAGGTCTCTAACTGTCTTCACAGATAGTGAAATAGCCTAATGTAGAAGCAGCAGTACATCCTGAAGTGAAATTCACTCAGACTTTTGCAACTGAGCTGTTTGGAGCATTTTTAGCTCAGTTTTATTGCAATTCTTTGGAAGCTTTTTAATACAGAATTTTGAAAAGCATGTTTGGGAGGCTGGTTTTGCTTTGCCTGAGATTTACAGTAAATTCTATTTTCTAATTTCTGATAACTGGATTGAACTCGGAACAATTGAGTGTATTTGGACTCATATCTAAAAGCTGATAATGTCTTGATATATGTACTCTACAGGTAATTATTCCAGAAGCTGAGACTAGAGCAGGATTGGCTTTGAAACCCAAGATGTTCCCTGTTACTGTTACAGACAGACCTGTAATGGATGTGACCTTCTCTCAGTTTTTGGCATCTGTCTCAGGGAAGATCTCTTGTTTAGGTAAGCCAGTTTTGAAGGTGAAGTGGAAATGGGGACAGAGAAGTTTAGCACTGCATGTGTGAATGCGTACTGTTTCAATAAAGACACTTGCTGTGGTTAGTCCCATCAGCAGATGGGTAAATTTATCAGCATGTAAGTAAATTGCATATAGATAAGGCAGCTCTTCTTTTGGGAGACACTAGAGCCTAATAAGGTACCTTAATAAACTCTGGAGTAAGGTTATGTACCTATTTTTAATACTTGCTAGGAATAAGCAAGTATCCCTCCCTCCGGAAGGAATCCTGACCTGTTTAATACCTTCCTCAGAAGATGGCTAAGTTCTAGAAGTAAATGCGTCTGGCTGATACTAGGGATACTGTATATCAATCAGAGAAGTACTGGAGGCAAAAAAAGACATCTTTAAAACAAAAAACAAAACCAAAGAAACAACACCCCCCACCCTCCCCCACCCCCCAAAAAAGGCAGTGCATGTAAAAACCTGTAGGTTCAAGCTGTTGTTAGAAGCTTGCAATCTCTGTTCTCTTTTATAAGCATTTTGTCTTTGGTTTTGTCTCAGGTTTCTCTCTACTGCTATTTTTCTTCATTACTTGACTTACTTGATTCTTGATTCACTGAGTTCAGCAGATGATGATTAGAGCTTGACTTTTGTGATTTTTACCCCTTCCTTTTTCCTCTGAGGCCTTTCTGCACTTTGTGTTCGGCTCTCAGGTGTTTATTGGGCCCTGTAGTCTCTGCAGGGCAAGGTGGACCCAGTGATTTAATGTTGGCCTCTGGTTGTTACTTGCCATTAGGTAAAATAATACAATTAACAAACTTCCTGAAAAATGCATAAAAGCACTGGTAAACACTTAAGAAATAAGAGTTTTACTTGGAAACGTTCTCTACTGGAAGAGAGTAATCATTTTAATGTTAGTATGCATGAATCTTGCTTGTAGTAGGGGTTTTGGAGGCAAAGGTGGCAAGCCAGAATGCAGTCTCATTTTCTACTGTCTTTTCGACAAAGATGCTTGTGGTGATCTGGTGGTGACATTACAGTCTGTGAGCCGCCAGGGTGAAAAACGCAACCTGCAGCTCTCTGGAAGCATGGACTCAGTGGCATTCACATTTGAAAATGTACTACCTGGCAAATACAAAGGTAGGATCATGGGGAACTGCTTGATGTATTACCTTAGTAGCTCAATTTGGGACTTAATCTGTATATTTCCATTATTATAGATGCCATTTACAGTATGCCAACATGGAACTAGTTTTGAAACTTGAGAGAATCTGGAAAAATACTATATAACAGTGCATCAAGTTTTCTTAATCTTGAGCCCTTTTCTCAGCTTAACAGGTAACGGCTCCCCAAACTTTTATGGTCTACATGGCTGGTGTGAGGACAAAGAGCTTTGTCCCAAGCCTAAGAACAGGGGCACACCCTAGTTCTTCTGCTTCCAGAATACCCCTCTTAAGAGCAATATGCATTTTGGCCAGCCTGTCTTGGACAACTATGAAAATAAATTGTTTTCCAGGGAAAGGTGTAGAAGGAGTATACACAGATTGCTCTTTTAATAAATGAGTCAGAACATGCTTCTGCCATGTGAAATTGGAGTTAGGTTCTGATATCCTCTAGGCTTCTTTGACTATCACAATGGTAGTGCACATTGCAGAACTTTCCAGGGTGACCAGACTTCATTATTCCTTTTTATAATAGCCTTTCTGTTACGAGATGTGCTGGATTCCTGGTGATGCTGTGAGCCAGGTCTGATACTACAGTCACTGTTGCATATCTGGCTTTGAAGATTATTGTCAGGGAATTTAGAGTGAGACAAGCTTTTTTTATCACAGAACCTGCCCTTAGTCACACAGTTTTATATTAGTAAAATGCTTTGTGTGATGTGTATTCTAGTAAGCATTGTACATGAAGACTGGTGCTGGAAGAATAAGTCTTTGGAGTTGGAAGTCATGGAGGAAGATGTTTCAGGAGTAGAATTCAGGCAGACTGGATATATGCTGAGGTGTTCTCTTTCTCATGCAATTACACTGGTACGTAGGTAACAAACGTATTTTTTTAATGAATTTGTGTAAGTAGGTTGGCTTATGCTTGGAATCAAGGCTTTCTCATGTCTCTAGGGAGTCACACAGCACAGCAATGTTGATGTTTAGAGTGCTTTGAGATTTGCCTCTTAGATTCGGTAAAATGGTCTTGTATTGTTAGCTGCTATAAAAGAGACACATTAATGTATCTTTAAGCAAATACTGTTTTCATTTTGTTGTTTGATAGTTATTAATAGTGAATTGTGTTGTGGCTTCACAGGAATTTTATCAGGATGGAAATGGACCAGAGAATGTTGGTGTTTATAACCTGTCCAAAGGAGTTAATAGATTCTGTCTTTCAAAGCCAGGTAATAGCTCTAAAATGTTAGTTTAAAAAACTGAAAGAACCAGTCAACTGAACTGCTGGGAATTTAGAAAAAAAAATTAAATCTGTTGTGGTTTGTGAGAGGCATTGTTTTAGTTACATCTGTATATAAGTGTTCTGTTCCGAGTTTTTAGAATTTTCCTACTATTTAGTCCTTCACTGAAATACGGATTCCAGAAGTAAAATTTTTTTTTTTGTGTTTCAGACTTGGTAAAGGGCTTTGATCTTTGATTTGTTCATATGGGTTCTCTTTGTCGGTCACATTAGAATGTAACTGACAAATTGAAGTTTCATTTCAGTATAGGATTCTTAAGGGGTAACTGTTGAAAGTATCACAGGGTTATCTATAACAGGAAAAAAGAATGTTTTAAAAGTAGCTATTTTTTTCTCCTTTTAATGTTTTAGAGCTAATTCTCTGTTATGGCCCCTTAGCAAAACAGTTAACGTATTTTTTTTTGGTTCAGTTTTCAACTTTGAACATTTCATCCTTAGAGCCAGTGATCTCATTCACAATACAGTAATACAGTGGTTCTATAATTAAAGGGATCAGCTATGGCACCATAATAGGTTACTTCTGAGCTTGTTTAGTTTGTTGTGTTTGTAATTATGATTTTCTGTAGTGATGCCTAATTGTGTTTTGTATCAGTGTACATTAGAAACTGTGCAGCTTCCAGTTGTGATCTATGAGTGGAGAGATGAATTTACAAGTGTCAGTGTGAAAGGCAGTAGATATATAATAACATTTTGTAATTGTTTATACCTCAGACCTTGTGATCTTGAGAATTCAGCCAACACAGTAAGCTTGAATTTTTTCAGCAAATCAGTTTTGACTTAATGTTTACAGGTGTATATGAAGTGACCCCACGTTCCTGCCACCAGTTTGAACATGACTATTACACTTATGACACGTAAGAGCAAAATCTGGTTTTGATCTTATGCCTATAAGTATGGTTTCATAAAGCTTCCTTCTGCTGCAGCTGCTTGCTTTCAGCGATTCAGGTTGTATTGCTATTACTGTTTCTAACCAATAGAGGGAAGCCTTAGCAAAGTGTATCAGATGTGTTCTCTTGCCCTTTCTAGTCTTAAGAAATAATCCACTAATGATAGGCTTTAAAGATGCTTGTGCTACTTTAAACAGACAGAAGGTATTATGTTGATTCTGCTATGTAACAAAGCAGAGATAGTTCAGTGGAATCTGTTGATCACTTCTGAGAGCTGAAATGCAAAAAACAGGATAGTAATTTTACGAAGTGGTGTATACCATTGTTGTACATCCCAGTGGCCATGACTGTGGTAATTTGATTCTGTTCACCCCACTTTTTGCAAGCTGAATAAATATACCCCCTAATGACAAGTAAGCAGTGCTGATATTCCTAAGTCAGCCATGTTTTATTGGTTATTCATAGGTTATGGTCTGGCAATGTGCTTAATGGCTCTTTGCTTCCTAAAAGAGGGTTTCTGCTCCCAGACTACTTCTAATTCATGAACATGGCAGAAAACAAAATCAGCATTAAAATCTGATTATTTACTGCCATGTTAGCAAATTAAAAGTACTTCAAAGAGAGATATGCTAAACATGAAAGCCAGCACAAAGTGAGTAAATGGAATGAAGCAGAAACCCTCTTTTGGCAGCAAAGCATCATTAGACTTGGGGCATCTTGGGGACTATATCTAATATGACAAACTTTTGAGCGTCCTTCTGCTGTGAGAAAAGGGACTGTACATATGAAATCAATCAAATCAGTTTTAGCTTGAGAGGAAGCAGGAGGCACAGAGGAAGGAATTGATTTGGCCAATGTCATGCAGTGGTTTGGGGTTCAGGGCTGGAAAATGCTCCCTTTCCAGTATGCTATCATCTCAGCACTACAGCTCTGCTGTGTAATTTGTGTATTGCCTTTTATAAAGCATTTCAAACTTAGGGATGGGAGCACAAACTATGCAAAAATAAGAATAGGTTATTTTCTTTAGGAGGAGGTGCTTGAATTCATGTCTTTGTTATTGGATTTACAGGTCCTCTCCTAGCATACTGACGCTCACTGCAGTTCGACACCATGTCCTTGGCACAATTGTAACCGATAAACTGATGGATGTGACTATTACCATTAAGTAAGAACAAAGAAATTTTGGGCCTATAAAAAATGGAAGAAAGAGACATCTCTCAAAGTTTTACTCCAGTTTCAATACTGCAGTGGCTGCTTTATAAGGGGATGGCATCCAAGTCTAGACAGCAAGAGGTTTTTATGCTAACCTGTGCTTTGAGTTCTTTGTAGACAGTTAAATAATTCTCAGCCCTCATTTTGAACACTGCCACTTTATTTCAGTATAGCCTTTTCCTACTTGTGTGTCATGGTAAAAAGGAATGATTTTTCTGAGTTTTTATACACTTTAATGAACTGAAATATCATAATTCAGAGGATATTGTTTTAGCTTAGGTCAGAGCTCTTTAGCACTGGCTTTTATTTTTTTCCTTTTTTGTTTTCTCAAAATGAGAATCTGCCACTTTAGAGCATTGTTACTGGTGTGAAGAGGGTTATAAAAAGAAAACCATGCAGAGTGATTACACACTAATGTGCCAATTTATGTTTAGCTGAACAGACAGCTCACTAGGGAGCACTGATTTGTGAACAGCTTTAATTGTATGAGGTGCCAGATCTGCCTGGAAGTGTCTGATAATGATGAGTGCTTTATTAATGCTCTGCTGATGTCTTCTTGTTCTAGACTATGGGTTCTCAAACTTTTTTGAGTGTAGAAAACATCTTTTTAGAGAACATATTACCTGCAGAGCATTGCCTCTAGTTCCCTGAGTTTAATGAAGCCATAGCTGCAACTACAGCAGCTGGAAAAGAAACATTGAGACATCAGAGTGCCTTTAGGATTTTAAAAACAACTTAGTGAGGAGGTGAATATTATACTGACCTTCTAGGCTGATTGAGTTTTTTGAGACTTATTGGCAAGTGCTTTGAAGGCAGCTCCATTGCCACAGACCATTTCTGTTCAAGCCTGCCTGAAACTTGTCAGCCAAAGTCCGATTTGTGAGATGCCATCAACATAAAAGGAACAGCTCTGGATTTAAAAACAAGACAGTTGTTTTTACAAGTCCCTGTTGGTGTACCAGATGGCAGTGACTTGTTAACCTTCAGTTAACCAGAAAAAAACCAAACCACCCCAACCAAAAATAAAGCCGACTTGTAACAATTTTTGATGATGGCTTGTTTAAAAAATAACACTGTAGTAATTCGTTATGAGTATCATGAGACTGTGTGTGTGTCTGTACAGATTTTTAATAGGTTTTGGAACAAAAAAAAATTTTTTTATACGTTTCTGTATTGTCTCTGGACTGCATTGAAAGAACTTAGGGCCTTGATGATACTACGATAGAGCAATAGTATTTGTTTCTCTTAAGAAAGACAGAATATAGGTGAAGACTGAAGCAGGAGATGGAAATATACTGTTAATCTAAAGTGGTTGTAGGAAAAGTAATCGTGATCATTTCAGTTCAGTCCTCACAGAGAATTTTGTAATGTTCTGTGACAGTTTTTCAGAGTATTGTAGACGGGACAGAAGGTCAGATACAAAGGATGGTTGGACACTAGAAGAAATTGCTAGGGAAGAGAGGATATAAGATCAGGGACAGCAAAACAAGATGCATTGTTCTGAGATGATTTAAAGAACTTGGTTAAATTTATCTAGCAATCTGTTCAATGGACAGTGACAAGATAGCTAGATAGTTCAAATGTGTAGGGCAGATAGGTTAGAACTCAGAGCTTTTCCTGGGAATCGCCAGCTACTGGAAATACTTATTTGTGGTAGAAAATATTTTCTCATTGTTTACTCTGTTCCTGAGAGATACATGCTGAGAGAAAGTTCCTAATTCTGAAAAAAAAAAGTGAGCTTACCAGTGTTTTTGTGAGGTTACTAGCTTGTTCTCAGCTTTGGAATTCCAGCCTTTCTCTTGTAGCTTAGGGCTTTGTTAAAGGTATTTTTGCAGACTGCTCATTTGACTTAAGAATTTACCACTCCTGCTGGCTTGTTAGTGCTTCTGTGGGAGGTTATTGCCCCTGCAGCAGGGCTCACGTCTGGTACTTGATGCAAAATCAAGACTCTCTACTTACCAAAACCTAAGCTAAGATGCTGGACTCTGCAGAGTCGTTGAGATGTAGGCATGTGACCCTGACTCTGCAGTGGGATGCTGAGGCACAGCAGAGGGGAGGAGGCGGCGGCGGCGGCGGCAACAGAGCCGCAACTTCTTGAATGGTTATAGCATGGTGGGGCAGAATTTGTGAGAATTGCAGATTTCCCTCTAGGTCAGGTAGGTTACCTGTAGTCCCTAGGAATGACCCTTTCTAGTATTAACTGATTGAAGTGGAGGTTAAAAGTTTTATTTATGCTTGGAATAAATAGAATTAAAAAGGAATGGATTTATAAAAAAATCCTGGGACTTGCCTGCTGTGGCATAAAGGCAGTAATTAACAGATACAACAAGCTCTTATACCTTCATATGAAAGCTCATGATTTTGTTTTCTCCTCCATGTTTTCAGGTCATCCATTGACAGTGAACCTGCCTTAGTTTTAGGGCCCCTGAAATCTCTACAGGAGTTACGTAGGGAGCAGCAGCTTGCAGAAATTGAGACCCGCCGACAGGAGAGAGAAAAGAAGGGGCAAGAGGAGGAAGGAACAAAACCACCAGTGCAAGAAATGGTAGAGGAACTCCATGGACCTTTCTTGTATGAATTTTCCTACTGGGCAAGGTAATACCAAGCTCCAGTGGACAAGGTGTATTCTTTGTGCTGGTGTTTCCACTAAACAGCACAGTGATATATTCCATATAGGAAAAGAGCGGCTGTATGAGTATCCATACCTGTTCTTCTTGACTGTCAGCTAAATGGAAACTAGTACCACATAAGAAGAATTTTGCTTTCGTTATTGTTGATACTTTTTCCTTGGGGTATTTAGATGGCTTCCTGGGTCAATAAAGCAATACTCTTTTACATGAGTGTTGCTAATTCCATTGTCTTCTAATTGTATTTTATTTGTGTTTTACAGGTCTGGAGAGAAAATTACTGTGACACCGTCATCAAAAGAGCTGCTTTTCTACCCAGCATATGTGGAAACAGTTGTTAGTGGAGGTAAATATAAATAAAACTTAGTTTGAAAGGAGTAGATTTTTAAGGCAGAAATGTATCCTTATGGATCAATGTATGAATAGCTCTTCAAAGGTAATGTTAGGAAAGTTTCAGATAAAGCTACTTCTTTGGGCCAATTTCACTCTGGAATTTGGAAGTGTGGGTATTTGGTAGTGGGTGCAAATACAGTTTTTATCAGCAGAATATGCCTCCAGGTGCTGAAAGACCACCTGGCACAAGAGGAAGGGCTAGATTTCTGGATACGACGCCAGATTCTTAGAATTGTTCATATTACTCTTGTCTACCAAAATAGTTGTGCAAAAGCAATGTTTATATTTTGAATTTGTTACCAAATTCATGTTTCTATTAAGTTTTATTTGTAGTAAGTTAAAATAATAAAAATATTCACAAAAAAGTAAACTTCAAAATTGTCAGGTTTATCATCAGTCAGTTGATGCCAGTTGTTAAGTCAGTGTCCATCTTGTTCTCAGGTTCCTGAGTGAACGTACTCTCTTGGAAATCACTAGAAAATGTTAGGTACCCCTTTTTATGTTCCTCTTTTTGCACATTATTAATACATTGGAGGAAATAAAATTTTGCTTATGTCATTAAACATGGCACATTCTGACCTGAATTTGATCTCAAATAGTTGTGTCAAAGTTTAGTGTAATATCAGCTAGAAGGGAGTATTCTTGGAACTTTGTCTGTGTGGCTGCAGTATATGTAACGATGAATCCTCAAAGCACTTAGCAAATCTAGATTGTTTTGGAGATGTGCTTATAGCTTTTGGATTTAGTTATTGATTTTGGGAATAATCAGATGTTTTAAGGTGTGTTGAGAGACCCTGCAATTGTGTGTGTTGATCTTTTATTCTAAGGTAAAAGAAGATCAACTGTTCTCTTTGGAAATAGTAAACTCTTGCTATAAGACAGAATGGTGAGTGTATTTTTGTCTTTCTTTTTGTCTTAAATCCCCTCTGCAATGGTCAAGAGAGTTGTCCTGGAAAGCTGATAGAGATTCATGGAAAAGCAGGCTTATTTCTGGAAGGGCGAATTCATCCTGAACTGGAAGGTGTTGAGATTGTCATTGGTGAAAAGGGAGCAACTTCTCCACTTATAACGGTTTTCACCGATGGCAAAGGTGCTTACAGGTAATTAACAGATTTGGTTTGATCTTTTGGGGTCTTTAGTTAAAGTGCAGTGGTGACTTGACAACATGTATGTGATATCCAAGTGCTTTTTTTAAAACTAATTCTTCTTTTCTTTTATTTGAAGTGTTGGGCCTCTCCACAGTGACTTGGAATATACAGTTACTGCTCAGAAGGAAGGGTTTGTTTTAACTGCAGTAGAAGGAACGGTTGGGGACTTCAAAGCTTTTGCTCTTGCTGGAGTGACATTTGAGGTAATGTTCTTAACACTTTGGGTTCTGCATGAATAGTGTGTGCAGTTAGAGCTAGACAGGCAAAGAAGCTAACCCACATCTCCCACTCAAGCACAAATGGGTGTGGGTTCTGGGGATAGTTTTGTCATGGGGAAACAAATCTCAGTGGATGAGCTCAGTTGTGTTGTAGAACGTGACTTGCTATGCAGAAGATACTTTGCAAGGTTTATAGAGTGAAAGTTAAAGCCTGCAGTCCAAAATACCGGCTTTATTTGCATTTGTAGAGTTGGACCGTATTTTAATGAGTTTTATCCCTCAAGGTGATTTTTTTCATGTACAGTCTGGTCGAACTAGTACCTGGTTCTAGCCTTTGGGATAATTTGTTCTGGCCCCCAGCATGTCCTGTGAAGTGACAGAGAATGACTCTTGTGGTAGCACATGTGATGTGTGGTTATGACTGCCCAGGTGTTGAGAGCACAAACTCCTGTAGCCCTGCAGTCTCTGCAGATGTGGCTAGTTTTCATCTGCTTACAGCTGAGTGCTCAGAGCCAGCACATCTGTGCACTCTGCAAGGGGCTTCTGAGTTGAACCCTTCTTCATAAAGCAACCCTTGCTTACACTTAAAATTATTGCGTTTTCAAAAATAGATCAAATCAGAGGATGACCAGGCTCTTGCTGGAGTTCTCTTGTCTCTCAGTGGAGGGATGTTTCGATCCAACCTCCTTACACAGGATAATGGCATGCTGACTTTTTCCAATCTGGTAAGTTGAAATTGATTCTACTGAATGTTGACTGCATGTGCAATGCTGCGTTACTCTGCCCTCCAAAATGTGGGTGCTATTGGCTCTCTTCAGTGGCAGGGGGATGTATGGTCTCCTTGAAATTGTAACCCACAATGAGAGATGTAGGTCCCTCAGAGTGGGCAGCACTTCACATCTTCCATTTGTTAAGATTTAAAATCTAACGTGATAAGAGGTTTCTCCCCAATAGGTAGTAGATGATGTTGATTGATCTCAGTTACTAATTTGCAGTTTGTAAACATGAAACAAGCCAATTTGTTGATGATCATTTGAGAGTCTTTAGAGGAAAGAAATCTAATTAGCCTATTGATCTGTACATGTGTGTAGACATGCCTGAATAGTTTCCTTGCAGACATCCTTCTCTGCTGGTCACTTTCCTGTCCTTGAGGTCTTGCGGTAAGGCTTTAGGGCCATAGTTTCCTTTCCCTCTTCAGGATTTATCACCTGGTGGAGTTCCATTGGTTTACTGTCCAATATGCTCCCTGTTTTTTCAATGCTCATATTTTCTGACCAGTTTAACATATGGTTGGGAGGGAGAACTTTAGCTCTTCATGGAGCTCTTGCAGAAACAAAGAGTTGTTTGGAGTTGGTGAATTTTTGTGTCATTATCAGTAAACAGCTTGTTTTATGCTCTTTTGCAGAGCCCAGGGCAGTATTATTTTAAACCCATGATGAAAGAGTTTCGCTTTGAACCATCCTCACAAATGATTGAAGTGCAGGAAGGACAAAATCTTAAAATTCGGATAACTGGTTACAGAACAGCTTACAGGTCAGTAGAGCTGAAATGCCATGCAAAATGCTATATACTGTATCAGGATACATTATGCAAAATGTGTCTTTTCTCCTGATGCACCTCTGTTCTGAAGGTTTGGAGAGTACTTTCGAGGGCACAGTTTAACCTTATTGTGCTGTGTATAAGTACTTTTTTTAGCTTTTTCTCATGGATGTGGATATATGGCTAAGCCTAAGTGACTGGACTGTAAGGAGAAACATTGCTGTCAAAGCACTCTGTCAGTGGCACTGGAAGTGGCTCGTGCTATGTCCAGTGGGAGAGGAGAGGACTATTCTAGGGATGGTAGACCAATTCAGGTATCTGACTTGAAGATCCCTCCTTTCCTTGCCCTCAGGGATAAGTGCTGCAGTTCATGGAGGTCAGGGAACTTGGATTCCTTAAGTTGTGTTCTGAACTGCAGCTAATTCTAATGCTTTAAACAGTTTTACATATACATTATAAATTCCCTTTTTAATTTCCATGTTATGCCAAATATATTAAGTGAATTTTCCATCAGTTATAACAATAAAATGTCTTTAATGTATACATTAAAACAGCATCTGCACATTTGTAGCAATTGGTTCTCTTTATACCTCTAGCTGTTACGGCACAGTTTCTTCTTTAAATGGAGAGCCTGAGCAGGGAGTCTCAGTAGAAGCTGTGGGGCAGAAGGACTGTAGCATCTATGGAGAAGACACAATAACTGATGAAGAGGGCAAATTCAGGCTACGTGGCCTTCTGGTAAGGATTAGAATGCTCTTTGTAATTTACTTTTCTGTTACCGTGATAATGGAGCAGTAAAATGTGGTTTATTAATTAGCTGACAATTTCTGTTTTCCCACCATAGTTGCTAGCTCAGATTCCCTTGAGGCTCTGTTAGGAAACACTGTCATGTAGTAAACATTCATTCTAGTAAAGGGGGAAAAAACTTTTTAGTGTAAGTCTGTGGAACTTGCTGCCAGCATACTGTGATGGTCTCCCACAAACACCAAGCAGTTTGCATGACATGACACGAGCCCCTGGTCAGCGCACTCAGTGTGTCCAGCAGATTTTCAACAGTGTTCCCTGTTACAGCAGGGAGTTTTAGTTAAAAGAATTTGGGGAAGCATTTAGTTTTTCTTATGAAAATACTGTGACAGCATATTTTTAGCAGGACATTGGGTGCGTGTATGATGTTGTTTGAACAGCGTGTGTGTGAAGTAAGCTGTTCTGCAGGAACTGTGGAAGCTGAATATATGGGACCACTATGTATGGGGTAAGCAGTTTGCTGAAGTAGAAAGCAGTTATTTGATCAGGTTTTAATCCTGTTTAATGTATTTTCTTTCTAGCTAAAACACTTCACAGCAGATGATTTCTTTTAATGCTATAATGTAATAAACTAGTGAAAGTTCTGTGATAGTCCTTTTGTAATTGCTGGCAGTAAAGACCCCTAATAGTGTTATTGAGTTAATTTTTTTATTTGGGATAAGGGAAATGTTAACTGGGTAGAGTTAGATCTGTTTGGGTGGTATATCTTAAGTGGTGTGTTTAAAAAATTCTCTTACTGTTTTCTAAAATTAAAGTATGTATTATTCAGTGTTGGGGTTTATCATCTGAATGTTGCTTTTAGCCTGGTTGTGTGTATCATGTCCAACTCAAAGCTGAAGGCAATGATCACATCGAAAGAGCTTTGCCACAGCATCGGGCAATTGAGGTAATTTTTTCTTTTTTTGTAGAATCACTTAAATATGAAATGCATCTGTCTAGGCTTAATGTCTGTTCTGTCAGCAGCAACGTAGTTGAATGCGTTCTATTTAGACAAGTGGCTTTCAGCAAGTTAGCTCCCTAAATACAAGCCCCATATTGTCTGTCAGCATCATAGCTTAAAATTGAAGTAGGATAAAGCCCAAACAGAAAACAAGTGAAAAAGGTTCTTTCGCAGTCACAAAAACTATACATCAAGAAAGGAGAGCATAAATGTATAGAATACTTTTCAGCATTTCTTTATGATGTGGAACAAAGCAGTAGCAACTTGAGGATGTCATAAATTGTCATGTTAGCTTATCCTTGTGTTTAGCTATTGATTGATCAATTTTGTTATGCTGTATTTGGTCCAAATTCTGCAGTCTCAGGTGACATTGTCATTTGGACTAGCAAATCTTTATAAAATGTAATAATAACTTTGAATTGAAAACTGATGTAATTTTGTTAAATATTCCTCCGTCCTTACAGATTCAGATTTGCTACCTCACATTTATTTCTTGATATCCAGCAAAGGTTAATTAGCCTTTGTTAGTTGTCCAGAACTTTCAGAGGGAGATGGTCATTATTTGAGCTCAAACACCTACCTGGCCAGGGTGCCCTTCTTTGCAGCAAAACAGAAGGGCAGAAATCTTTCAAGTCCTTAGTGTTTTCTTTAAGGGTACTTGCTGGTTGTCAAGGGGAAGAGAATAGCGACCCAAATTCTAGAAAATCATATGAAAGTTATGTACTGCAAATGACAACTGTATGCAGTAGCTTCTGTTAATGTATCCTGGCTAGCTTGCCTTTTTCTTCAGGAGAGAGAAGTGTTTGAAAGACACCTGGAGGAAAAATGTACAGCCTCAGTGTCACCAGAGTGTTGATATGGCACCTAGCCTAACTGTAACCTGTCTGTTACTTCAGTTATTATTTGAGTAAATGTCTTTCCCTACTCTAATCAGAGTTCAGATTTAGAAACACAAAGGTTTCATGTGTTAAACAATTTTGAAGGATATAAAGTTACATATTTTGAAGTAGGTTATGTTATGATATGAGCACATTCTTCATTAATCATTTGTATAAGCATCCTAGCATAGTAATAGGCATCTCTCAGCACAGATACAAAACACTGAGACCAGCATTCAGGTATTAGGGAGTCCTGTGTATGTAACTCAGCCTCTTCCAAAATGATGTGTGCTTTTGATATTTCTTCCATTTTTAGTTTAACTTAATGCCATCGGCCTTGTACTGTTAATGCGCAAGTCTGTAATTGTGACCTGTGCAGTCTGGAGGAAAAATACTTGCAATTGGAAACCCTTCAAGCTTCTGTGTGGTTAGTGTAGAACAAAATTCACTTGTTGTTTAAAATTATGAGCAATATTTTTGTTGTGCTAAGTGTCCTCTGTTAACTGTTACTCTTTTGGTAAAAGCATGACTGTGTTTCATGTTGCAGGTTGGGAACAGTGACATCGATGATGTTAATATTATAGCATTCCGACAAATTAATCAATTTGATTTAAGTGGAAATGTAATTACATCTTCCGAATATCTCTCCACATTATGTGTAAGTTCAAGCCTTTCATCTTTGGGAAACCAATGGCAAATACACTTGACAATGTGTTTTTTTTGTTGTTTTTTTTTGTTTGTTTGTTTTTGGTTTTTTTTTTTCACCGTCACTGGATATTGTTCAGTAGCCAGAGCACACATTTAATTCAAATTATGACTAATACTTTAATGAAGGTGAATTTGAATTCCAGATAGAATTAAGATTGCAGTGTTCCAGACTGCTTTGCTTTAATGTTTCCATTTTTCACGGGCATATATTTAAAATACTTTCTCAGGTTGGCCTGTATATTTCTGGGTCTGCTTCCCTGATTAGGGATGCCCTGTCTGTAAGGAGGGCAAGACACCAAAAGTGAATTGAGTGCTCTGTATCAGAGAACTGCATTAATTCCTGAAATACCTGGAGTTTTTGACATGCATGTCTGCTCAGAGAAGGTACCATATGAATGCAACAATACCATAGGACACATGAATTTAGAAGTACAGTTATAAGACACAGTATGAGACAAATAGTAAAGCTGAAATTTTCAAAAATCAAAAGACTGCATTGTGATCTGAAAAAACTTACTAAACACCTGTGATGCTTTTGGCTTAGAGTGCAAATGCTGGAAATATCTGCAAATGGTGTTAGTGTGGCAGGAATTATAGTACCGTTTCTCAGGTTTAAAAGCTTCTTGAAATCTTACCGACAAATATAAATACATTGCCTGGACTTCTTTCAGACTAGTCTGTTATGCATCTCACCTGCCAAGATTGTATGTTACGCTGTTGTGTTTTTTGGGAGACATCCAAAGGATCCAACACTCAGAGCAGGTGTGAAGGGAAAATGTATTGCTTTACTGAAAAGTACCTGAGCAATCTTCCCAACTTTCTGGGGAAATTTAGATCCTTGCAGTTCAGCCTAAGCAAGTAGGAATTGATGTCAAAATTTGATTATAGGGAAGTTACCAAAGTCTGTACCTGTTTCATGTTAGTTTGGGTCTTGTGTTGTGTATAATGCATGGTGCTGTTGATGGACGCATATCATGACCCTTGCTTTCAAGGCAGAAATTTTTGTCTCTGAAGGATGTGCTAAGATTTGACACGGACACAAGTGAGTGGCTTTGTGACCTTAGTCTGGTCTCTTCTGGTTGCACGGGCTTGATGAAACAACTGGAAACATGCTGGTGAGCTGTGATTTGAGCTGCGAACACATTAGCACTACGCAGAATCAGTGAGAATTTAGTTGAGCTGTGTCTGCAAGGAGATCAGAGTCTTGGCAAATATCTGATCCAGAGGTTTACGAACAATGCTATAGATGCTAGAAGGCTGCTTCAGTGTGATCCACTCCTGTGTCCTCTGGAGGAGATTCAGTGGCTGATAAACCTTTGTATGTACAGGCAGTCTCATGTGCTGCTGCGCCTCCCAGCCTTATTTAACTATGATACAACCCTCTTTTAATTATGTTGGTTTCTGAGCAAACTGTATTTGCTGAGGACTTAGGCCTATTCTGTACCTTGAGGATGTCTAGCTTGTTAAATAAGTGTAGAGAAATTGAATAGAGCAAAATGAGCCTATCTGAGAAATAGAAACAACCTGCAGCTGCAAATTCTTGTGAAACTGCTGGGATTATTTAAAAGAATTACTCAGTTCTTGTTGATGCACAGCACAGACTACTTTTAATACACTTGATACGTTAAAATGTCAGATATCAGTTGTTCCTAATTTATTTCAAGTCCTGTAAAAAGACTGTTTCTATGACTTTCACATCCCAGATTAGAACAATTCCAGGTGTTCTTACTTGACAACTTTCTGTTTATAAAACACATGATGATTTTTGAAGTGCTTTTATCCCTTAAGATGTGAGATGGCTGAAATACCTATTGTGATGCAGGCTCAGAAATACCTGGTTTGTGCTTTCTTCTTTCCCTCGCAGGTGAAGCTCTACAAAAGTGAAAATCTTGACAACCCAATTCATACAGTCAACTTAGGCCTATCCCTATTTTTCCATTTCCCACCACTGCTCCGAGATGGAGAGGTAAGAATATTGCTGAATAATTTGCTTAAGTCACTTAAATTTATTTTTTATTTGTTAAGGACACTGAAGTGTTATTTCTGGTGTGCCCGCAGTACTGTATTCATGCTGGAGTGACCAGTGTCTCAGAAGAGTTGAAGCCCGTTAAACTGATTTTTGCCTTTAAATCTGATTTTGTCTCAGACTGCTGCTGATACTGTAGACTGAGTGTATTTTTTTTTTACCCACAGAATTATGTGGTGCTCCTGGATTCTACACTGTCTAAATCACAGTATGACTACACCCTGCCTCAAGTTTCATTCACTGCTATTGGGTATCATAAGCACATTACACTGATCTTCAGTCCCACTGTAAGTACAAAATACTTAAATGTTCAAGTGTTCACCTTGAGAGCGATGTCTGGTAGTGTATATATAGCCTGCGTGTATTTTGTGGTCTTGGCCGAACTTTCTATTAATGTAAAGAGCTTTATGAGCAGCACTAAAGTGACAATGAATTTGGGTTTGGCCACATTTAGGGCATTGAGCAGGGATGTAATAAGCTGGTATCTTACGGGAGGCAAGTCAGGAATTCAGGAAGGGATTGTAGCCATGACACTCACTGAAAGGTTGCAGTAACTGAGGTCTGAAGGAAAAAGATAGGAATGTTGTCAGAATTCCTTTAAAGACTTCTGTATATATGAGAAGTATCACCAGGCCAGAAAGGGAGCTTCAGTTACTGGAGCTGAGGTAAAGGATACAGCGGAGTGGTTTCAAGCTAGCATCAGGGGAAAATGTCTCCCTTGAGGGAGGGAAGTGTACTTCTGCACTTCTGAACAGTGCAGTCAATTTATTGAAGTGTACGTTCTGTAATACTTAAATGACCAATTTCTTCTCTGCATCACTGCATGTTCAGATGCCATCAAAACATGAGAGAAACATGAAACAGCAGCTATAAATGAAGGATTCAGAGGTGCCTAAAAGATTTTTGTGCTAGTATGGTTGCTGTAGTATTGGGATCATAGAGGCTCGGGCAGCATGTGATGGGTGAGTCAAAGGATACCAGGTTGACTGTAAAGTAGAGACTGACCATCAGTGAATTAGCTTTAAAAAACAGCAAACCCCAGGAAGAAGGTAACAGATTAATGAATCTGATCAAGGGGACTGCTGTGAAGTTGGTAGGTAAAATCTATCTTAGAGCAGCACTTAGAAGGAATTCATATGGGAAGGATTGGACGTGCCATGTGATCTTATTGCTGGTGTTGCTTAAAGCTGAGGGATTTCATGGTCAAAATGACTGTTAAAAAAAAAAATCCATGGTTCCCACTGTTTTCAGAGGAAGCTGCCTGAACAAGATATTGCCCAAGGATCTTACATTGCGTTACCACTGACACTGCTTCTGTTGTTGGCTGGTTACAACCACGATAAGGTAGGTCATGTTTTGGGTTTTTTACTTATCCCAATTATTATTGTCCTATCAATGAATACTTTGTACTGTGTTAAGTGAGGGCTTGTGGAGGTGGTTATCCAGACAGATGCAGTCAGCAGTCACCTTATGTGACACATTTTAAGAAAAGCCACAGTGTAGCCAAGTTTTTGGACAATTGCCTTCCTTTAAAAAAACTTACTGTGAAGGTGAGTTCCTGTGCCTGTTCTGAATTTTGTCTTCTCATTTGATGGCTCTGAGAAGAAAAACAATACAGCATCATTCAAATTCAGATAACAAGACTCAGTGATATTAGGAATGAAAATAATTATTTTATTGGCTTCAGGAACAATCAGACTGGAAAAAATCTTGCACGTCATTGGGTCTAGTCTCTTTAGCTTTACACCCTCCCTAGTGAAAAGCTCTCGAGGAATATAACTACCGGCTATATAACTTGCTCTGTTTTTGTTAACAAGCCATGCTCTTCTAGTCGTCTCTGATATGACTGGATTTCAGTTTTGCTGATAAAAGAAAATTGTCTGTGCAGTTTGATTTAGTCTCAAACATGGGTAAGGCAGCACAGAACATGGGATTCTCTAGGATTTTCTACAGTGTCAGTGAAAGTGCCACCACTGAAAATAGCAGCCGTTTTCTAGACTCAGGGCTCCAAACTGCCGTTTTTGGCTAGATGACTGAAGAAAAAAAGTTACTGACAATCATTTTAATTTTTGATTATCAGAAATTCCCAGAAGTTTGGATCGATTACTTCCCAAGATTTCCTGATATCTCTGTAGATGTGCCATTTACATAATAGATTATTTTTGTTTGGGGATGCGTGGGTCTAAAGAATGTTACCATTCAGACCTTACACACCATTGTAACCAAAAGCTGCTTTCCCTTTATTTTTGCCCAGCTTATTCCCTTATTGCTGCAGCTGACAACTCGACTGCAAGGAGTGCGGGCTCTTGGACAGACGGGTTCTGACACAGGTGGCTCAGAGGATGCAAAGAGACAAACGAAAAAACAGAAGACAAGACGGACGTGAGATGAAAGGATGATTGCTTGAAGTGGTGCTCCGTCAAACTGGAGCCTGAGGAAGCGAAGCCACTAAAACATGTTTTTGTTGAATTTGCGGACTTTACATTTTCGTTGTTGCTACATGAGCACTGTTTGTCACATGAGCTCCATTTTGGTTGTAAATTTTATATGAAGTCTATAGATTTCCTTGTTGTAAAGTAATGAAATTAATGCTTCTGTCGTGACTGTGAGTGCGTCTCACATACTTGAAGATGATTAATGTTTTGGTTTTTTTTTTTTTCTTTTCAGTGGAACAGATCATTCTGTCTTCATTAATGATTTGTAAAAGCAGTGGTAGTAGACTGCTTGACTTCACTTTCAGTCTCTATGTTTTGGGATCATTTTTCCTTACCTTTTGAAATACCCACTTTACAGAAGCAGCACACAGGGATTTTACTATAGCAGTGGTGCTTGAAACAAAGTTTTGGGGACATACATGAACGAGTAAGTCACATCTTTGGCACTTACAGTTCAGCAGCTTGATTGAGCCAGTCTGTCATCTGCACAGCTGTGATTTCAGTTCTTATCCAATGATTATGTTATCTTTGATTAAAATCAAGTTTTTGCCCTATGAAGACAAATGGTTAATGTCAGGCAAGTTCTGAACACTGCAAAAGTAGTGTTTAAATTTCAGTTTCATATGCAGTGTGATCTCTTTAGACCTCCAGTATTCCTGAAGTGGCTCCAGCTGGTTGTACTATTCTTTCCAAAACTGTACTGTGTTCTCGGTGACACCTATTCACTCGTGTGGCTGTCATGTCTCCTGCTCAGGTCATGTGCAACCTTTTTGCCAATTGATGATTGATTTCCACCCCCACACACACACTTTTACCTTTTTTTTTTTTTTTTTACTTTAAGAAACGTCAGCTTTTTGAAAATGTACAGTCCAACCTGTACAGTCCCAGTAATGTAGTCTGTAATAAATAACTGTTTCTTACAGGCTATCTTTTGACTCTTGTTTGAAGTAGACAGTTGGACATACACAGTTTAAATGTTAATGGGGCTTTTTATTGACAAATATCATAAAGGTTAATAGAGCTTTTGAAAGATACACATAAATGCCTACAAATATTGCAAAGATATTGGTACTGCCAGTAAGTGGCAATGTTTCTCTTTTACAGTACTTGAAGTAAAGTCCCTTTACATTTAAATATTTAAGCTTACAAAGCCGACCATTCTTAGAAACATGGATGGTAAAGGTTTGATGCTCTTTTTGTTGGTATTTTGCATTAGTTTGGGCTTAAATAATGAAAACTTAATTTGGTGATCATTCTAATCTCAGAGGGAAATTCTATCAAGATCGTAATAAAAATTAAGAATGTTGGAAAAGCATGTATATATAGAGTTTGAGATGAAGCTCTAAGAAACTATCATGCTCTCTACTTAATGACCTTGAATTTTATATTGCTGTGATGAAATATATGGAGAAAAAACAACATGTTGTAAGACTTGTAATAAATTGTACATTTTCAATACATCTTTATTTTAAACTGGTGAATGTTAAGAAAGGTATTGCTACTTTGGAGGAATGTATAAAGAAGAAATGCACGTGTCCATGTGCCTTGAGTGAGTACCAGATATTCTGACCTGTGGGACTTGCTGATGATTGACCTTAAACATTGGAAATGCTGTTAATAAAAATTAAAAAAAAAAAAAAAAGTGTTAATGCTTGCTGATTTAATTCTGGCATCTAAACTTAAGATTGCCCAGTGTCTTGTCTCAATTTTTTTTTTTTTTTTTTTGCCTTCTGCAGCATACTGGTGGCTTACTCGCTCTCAGCCCCATGTTTTGAGGTTTATTTGCTTTTGAAGTGTTTATTCCTAACAAAAACTAGCTTCCAGTTTCTCACTTGGCAGAGAAGTCATGGTGCGCTTTGAGAAGATGGGGGAAACTAACGTATGAGATAACTTTCTAAAGCAGAACTAAATGCCAAGAAATCAATATCTCCAATTATATTTAGAAACCCATAATCAGATACACAGACCCAAGCAGAAAAATCAGCCATGTGGTCTCTCAAATCCCCAGAGCCACATGCACAAAGTGAGGACAGACGGAGGGAACATGCTGGTCTGCAGGGGCGGGCTCCTGCCTCCCGCTGCTCCTGGGGTGGTGGCAGCTCCACCCTGGCGGTGTGATAGAGCCTGGAGCTCCAGAGGATCTCCATCACACGGCGTGGCTGTTTTACTGTGCTTTCCAGTGCAGAAATGGTGGATTTGGTTTAGGATTACCTTCAGTGCTCTTCTGAGTTGACTATTTAGTTATCATTTGCTCTGCATATCTAAGGTTTGCAGTTGATTTTGTGCTCTTAAAACCAAGAGTTCAGTACCAGTTGTACTGGCCTTTTCAGTATTGCCTATTGAAAATGTCAGTTAAAGCTGCCTATTGCATCTTTAATTTATGTTAATAAAATAAATGCAGAATGGGACTAATATTTAGATGTTGACTCCTACTAGAAAACTTTCAAGGCTCAGCGTTTACTGTTCTTTATTGCAGGCACAATAGTGAATGAACGATTCACTCGTTTGGTGAGCTAAATATGGGCAAATGGCTAAATTCTGTTGGAAATGAGAGTAAGGCCCTCCGGCTAATGATGGTATTGCATGTTACAGGATTTTTCTACCAAAAGCAATAATAAATATCACAAATATTTGCTTGGTTCATCAGTGATGCACAGAATTCTATTGTTCAAGAATGAAATGGATCATTAATACTGAATTTTGCAATTTCTTTATAGATGATTCAGCTTAGTTTCTAAAACATCGTCTTTATTACATGGCTGTTGGAATCCAAGAACAAGTACGTTTGATGCATAAGCAATAATGTTAAATAAAGATACAGCAATTCAAAAAACAAATGTGCTTAAAAGCAAGAAAACAAATGCTTAGAGAAATGAGAATTCTCAGCAAGGGTGGAGAAGCACAGGTTTCTTCATAGTTAGTAGTCTTTGTTGCCTTTATTTTTAAAATCCAAATTTCAATATTTGCTGAGTTGTACCATTTAGTGTAAGACACATAGCTGTGTGAATCCGATTCTTGGGGTTAAGTGTTCATTTGTTTTTCTTAATTAAGAACATGTAGGGGGAAAAATGCTATGTAGTGTGAGACTGGGTTTGTAGACCTCTTTGGGGCCAAACAGAGGGTGAAGTGTCCAACATGCCAGCCAGCTCACTGTTTCCATTTCTACAGAGGATGGGATTTCAGGAGGAAATCTCTAAAGTGAATGTCACTGCTTTATGTGCTGATGTACTGACTGAGGCTCCTCACCTTCTACCAGGTTACTTTTTACACAGCAGAACAACTAAGATCCTTGCCAACTTCTCTAATCCACCAAAGAAGGAAAGAAAAAAAATTCAGTCAAGGCTGACAGCAAACATGCCATCCTCTGATATGGTGGTTCAATACTATGGTGTTATCCTTAGATATTTTACTTTCTATCACCAAATATGTCTGTACTGTGAAAATAAGGCAATGCTGTGGGCCTTCAGCATTACCCATCTGAGACCACAACTTGATTCCTGCTGCTGTTCTTCCTTGTAGGAATTCTGTTCTTCAGATATTGCAAGTGCAACTGTAGAATTAGCAATTTTAATTCTCAGCCCTGTGCTGAGGAAACATGGACTAAGCACTGAGGCTTCTGAAGGTAAGATGGCTTTGAAAATCCTAGTGGACATCTAAGTAACTGACTTGTCCAAAAAAGCTGAGGCTGAATTGAACCCTGAAGTGATTGGTGTCTAATTTTGCTCCTATTCAGTATTCCTTGATTTGTATGGTATCTGTATTTCTATGTTTTCGAGTCTGAAAGTAATTTAAATTGGGCTTCTTGCAAAGGCAGGTGTAATGAGTGGTGTAGAAAAGGCCTGAATGGTTGTAAATTGCCTGAGCTGAGCACAACAGCATTGGCTCAGATCACACCCAGTGATGGGTTCACATTACATGCGGTAAGACGTGTTTTTCTTGCAAATAGATTGGTGGCTTTAGAAAATCTCTGAAAGTCTCTGAAAATTCAGTAAATCTATTTGGTGCATTATTGACTAATGCCAGAACTCTGTAATTTTTTTTTTTTACATTTAAAAGAACACCAGTTAGTTTAGTCTCTGTCATTCAGTCATTTCTTTAAACCTGGGACAGGCTCATACATCCTTGTACAAATGAAGAGCAGCTCAACACTAATTAGCATTCCCTGACTCTTCATGGATTATTATTAGCGAATGCAACTTTTCCCCTTAAATGTTTTACAGAGCTTTTGTGAGCTTTTTACATCAGCTAGCTTGTCCTTTCAAATTTCTATTATACCTTTTGTAATTGCTTTCTGTCTATATTTGATGTGTTGTTGCTTTACTCCAGTAACTTCCATTATCACTTTTAACTGTTTGCTATTACTGGGATCAACATGATTGCATTATTTACACTGTTTGCTCTAAATATAATTTTTTCTTGTTCTCCCTCCTCCTCTCCCACCATCTTTCTGGGAATATCAGAGCTTAGCAACATGTTACTGTCTAAAGTCTTACTTGTTAACTTCATAGCCTAAGACCATGATTACCTTAAGCCCAATGATATATTATCATAAAGCACTAAATACCTACCAGACCATTACTGAATTTATCATAGCTAAGAGTGCAATAAACAGTGAAAGATAAACCTGGTTTTTACTGCCTGTGGAAGTCAGCAGGTTGATTCTTCCTTTAATTCTCATCTTTGTCAATGCTAGAATAATTAAATTCTCATCATAAAGACTCTAGTTGCTTCACAGGTCTCTCATCATGCTGAGTCTAACTACACCTTTTTTTTTTTTTTTATCTTTAAAGCATAGTGTTGGGATAAACCATCAACAAATTCCCGTTCCAAGCCTTCCTACTCTCAAGCACAAAAAAACCCCTAATAGGGTCTTAAGTAAAACACATGAAAAGGAACTATTTTCTTTCTATGGTCTCTAGCATTTGCTGCATTAAAGTGTTTTCTACTAATGCAGTCATTAGGAAACACGTTAATTTCCTCCAACCTGTACCCAGGGCTTGTTCTTCCAGAAGGAAGAGACAGGATGCTGCCCAGGCCCTCCTCCCCCTTTTCCTCAGTATATGTGGTGTGTGACAGACATGGATGATTTCTCTTAGCGGATGAACTCAGGAGTTCATTCAGTGCACAGCTGCAGGCTTGGGGCCTGGGTTGTTTGTTTTCTGTTCTGCAGACAGGCCTGACAAAGTTTAACCAGCACCTGTAATTCCCAGCTCATCTGAAACAGCCATGTCACTAAAGGAGTGAAGCCCTTTATGTGCAGAGAGAAAAATTATTTTGTTTTAATAAGCATGGCAATTGGATGCAAATTTGCTTATGTATTTAAAATCAGAAATGGTGTTTCCCTTCTATTCTGCACTCCAGCTGTATATTCCATTATCCCTGGGGAGGCTCGATATGATTGCGGAGTACAAGTACAAGGGACTCTTGTCATTCTTTCTGGAGTAAGGGAAGGACAAACTATAACTAGTAAGTGTCAGCTCTCAAACAAGTGCCATTAGGATTGTAAGCTTGTATTAATAAGGATTCATGTGGTTATGTGTGCTCATACAAAGATCAGTACAGAAGTCCAGCAGTGGTATCTCAAATCACAGTGAGCAGATATGGAATTGGTGATATACAGTGAAGTCAGAACTTCACAAAGTAAACAAGTTTTTAAAAAACATATTAACATGCTGCTTTTCATGTTTATAGCTGTACAAATCTTATCTGTGTTTTTATATTTTTACTTTTCTCCCCTGTGTATTTTTTGGCTCTCTGTGGCCCAGGTGTGAGAATGGAGTAAGGGATGCTGTGGCAATTCTGAGCAGTGAGCTCTGACTGAAGGATGGGAAATAAGACCATGAATTTCACTTTTTATAGTATGGATGGTCTTTGTGAAGTGACAATTTTGCTTTCAATACTTTTTATTTCTGGTGATCTCCCAGGTAGAAGATGACCAAAAAGAGATGTTGGTGTTTTGGGAATTAACTTTCATTTGTGTGTGTGTAACTTCCAGCTCTATGAGCCAGCACTTTGGTTCATGGAGATTCAGATCCTGGGCTGAGTCCCATGTGTATGAAGCAGTTTGGGTATTGTGGAAAAGACAAAACAAATCTCTTATCTCCCTTTCCACATGGTACCTTACAGAACTGCAGCACTGCAGCAGGGAGAAACAGCAAGAAATGGAGACATACTACTGGTAGTAAATATGTGAAGCAACAACAGATACCCATAGGTCTTGGAGAAGATGGGGTGATTAATGTCATCAGTACTGAATCTGATTTGCATGTGCATCACAAAACCCTAAATAAAAACACAAGAAATTTATCCTGTACTTCATTAAACATGAATATTCAACAAATTTAATTACTTAATTTGAATGCAGGCATTTGTCCTTACTGGGAGCTGAATTAGACATCTAGCTTATCCTTATTTGCTCACTTTTTCTTTTTTTCTTCTAATTATAAGACAGTAAGGGGCTTCTAGGACATGGTTAGCTCAGTGGTGATCATCACCTTAGCTGGATGCTCTGCTGTCCCATGCTGACATTGTCTTAATCTTCCTTAAAATATGAGCAGGCTGCAATCTTTCTCTGTAACTCAGCTTCCTGGAGCACTGAAGGCCAGTGTTCAGAGATACTTCAGGGCTTAAAGGATGGAATTT